AGGAGGAGGGAGTGCGGTAGATGCCGTGCAAGTCTACCATCACTATGAGCCAATTCACGCGCAAGTCAACGCGCTTGCCTACCCCTGCTGTGGAACACATGATTGACTTCGTTGGCAACGGTGGTCGAACTGTCGGGCTGATGTGGTGATGGTTGCGGTGACCTGGCCGCATGGTTACTCAGCGCCGAGGGATGAGAATAGAGACTGTGTGGCTGACTGTTTACCCACTCATCTCTGCCCAACCATAATATTGTTCTATTTGAGACCAAGGTACCCATGCCATTTCCTGTTTAGCACAGCAATCAATCAATCCACTTATTCTTCTCACTTTAAAGGGCATTGAGTCCCGTGAAAAGCTACCACGACAAGGTACTGTCTTATTACCATTCCTCGAACTTTCTCTTTCAACTGATCGTTTCTGCGCAGTATCTCTTGAAATTTCAAGCCACGTTTTAGATAAATTCCACTTGGCCAGTGCATGATTTCTTCCCTTAGAAAAACCCCATGATTTGTGATTATACATATTTACTTCCTAGATGTTTTGGCAACTTTTGAATAATTCATAGTGGCCCAACTGTGAGAAACTCGGCGCCTCGGTAGGCTTCGAACCCTCGCAGTAAGGGGAAGGCTTTAGTACAGCCAACACGCTAATCACTTGAGTTACGAGGTCCCGCCGGACGACGCGGGTTTAATCACATCTGGGTGAAGTTGCCAGCCCAACCTACTCCAACGTCTGGCATCCAGACGTAATTCATAGATGCTTTGGCAGACAGGAATTACGTTACCCTGGTAGTCATCTGTTGGATCCTAGGTGAATTACTTGGGAAATCCTGCCTTAGCAGTCGACTTACTGTACCAGATTTGGTGGATTCCAGACATTGCAGCAGGTTGGGCGGGTAAAGTGACCCAAATGTCGTCCGGCGGGGCCTCGTAGCTCAAGTGGTTAGAGCGTTGGCTGTACTAAAGCCTTCCACTTACTGCGTGAGTTCGAATCCCACCGGGGCGCCGAGTTTTTCACGGTTGGGTCAGTATGAAATATTTAGTTAAAGAATCTAAAGCATTTGCGTACCGGCGCCTTTCGCGTCGTCCAGGCGTCCGTCAGCAGTGTCACTTCTAGGCGACCGATGACGGTTATCGAAGCCAATTCACTCTCTTCGGCTGATTTTGCACTGTAGTCCTTTCCGAAGTTACCCACATGCTTATTTGGGGTCAAAATGTCGTCCTTGGAAGAGATAAACTTCTCAGCCATGTTCCAAACAACACTCGTTTCGAAGCCGGACTTCATTGTTTGTTCTTTTTAACAGCAACCTGCTCGGCATCAGAGGAATTTTTCACCTACATCTCTGGCTCTCTGTCTGGCTTCTTCGGAGTTTCTTTTCACTTAAGACTACCTGACAGGCGCCATTCTTCCTTTCCTCCAATGGAAACCAAGCGGATGGTTCGACCAGTCTAACAATACTCCGAAGCAGGGCACCACATTTATCTCTCTTAGCTCGAGCTCAATTCATTTAACTTTTCGGAATCTTCAACACACTGTTTCCCATTTTCAGACCTCAAGCGCACACTAGCTACAGAGAGACGCTAATTCCCCCCCTACTTCATCGCGAAGTGAGAATTAACTCAACGCTACCCCATATTAAGACTAGGTGTATTCGGAAGAGCCTCTGTTCTAGCATTTACTGCCTAGGCCCCGATTAATTTTTTTAGAAAACAACGAGAAGTTCTGTCACTCTTGGATATTTTATAACCATGATTAAAACTGGGAGCATTAACGTGCTTTGTCCGTAAACATGGATTGCATAACGGGGCTTACCTGCAAGCCATGAAACTCGCAAATAATGAGAATGATCAGTTAGACTCAACAAAACGAATGTAACATAAACGGCGGTAGCTGAACAAAAAAGACAGGGACTGAGAAATAGACCTTTCGGGTTTATTGGTGTTCTTGCAAGCCAGCCAGCTGTATCCTGCATTGACGCTGAATCTTGCACTCGGTTTAGTGAACTACAACTTTGAATACAAATTTTGGACGATCGCACAGATTTTCAATACCACTGGATTGCTGTCCTCTTTTTCCAGCGCGTAAACAACAGGCGCCAATATGGAATTAAAAACCCTTATTTAAGTGGAGCACATGATTGCTATATAAAAATTCGAAGCTTCACCGTTTAAAGCCATTAAACGTCTTCGTCCTTTCAATATTTGTTACAAAGGGATAGTTGTCTTTGGACTTCAGACTAGGGAAACTCGATACCGAACCAATACCACCGTCTATCGTGCTTCTGCGCGTGAATTTTCAGTAACCACAGTAACAGCGGAATTGTGGATCTTCCAAAGATCCTTCCGACGCCTGTCTGACACCTCTTGTCGACAATGGGCAATGTGCTCATGGGAATTGATAGTGTATGTGACACCGAATCTCAACTTGGAGCTACGAAGGCAGCTTAACGTAACGAAATCATTTGATTGGCGAATGCAGCTCTACGGGCGCGTAAGAACTAGTTGCAGGGCTTTACGAGTACCATAACCAAACTCAGATCCACGGACAATCCTGTAATCTGTCGATTAAAACCTTTATTCCTTGTTCATCCCTCCGTCTACTCTTATACACCGACACTTATCCTCAGTCCATGGAGTACCCAACTGCTATCCGCGTCTACGGCTTCTGACCCCCATGAACTAATAATGCACTCTACTGGTATGACTTCACGTAAACACCTTTTATACTGACGGATAGTTTTTAAAGACGTTTTAAATTATAAAGGGCCAAGGCTCCCGTACTCAACCATTAAACAATTTTTAAGTGGGATTTGGCGTTGGTAGTTGTCCAGTATTTCAAGTCATCTCTGCCCAGGTAATGCTTTACCGAGACCCAGTAAGCCATAGTAACCCAGTGCTTTCAAGAGTAGTTGTCTTACAGATATGCATTTTTAACCTATTTGGGTGAACCAGTTTGCCACACCCTCCGGCAGGGTCATCATATTTCGATGCCCTCGTAGCAACCTAGCGTCATTCTTGCCTAATAACATTTTCTCTCACGCACACGTTGGTTCACTCTGACTATATCTTTGATGTGGGACGTTGAAACGCATGCTTGAAATTTATTCAGACTTACGCCTAGTCCTCGACACCAACCTCTGTGATGCTGATTAAAAGGTGAACTCTACTTTAACCTTTCTCCTTAACTGTGAGAAAGGTGAAAGATGGTACCGTCGGCAGCTTGAACTGTTGGAGCGTGACAGCTCCCCACTAATCTTCTTTTTTGAGTGACTAGTACACACTAGGTCTTCATCTCTAGTGACCTTATTCTCGACCTTGTACTCATATCTGATATCCGAACACAGTATAGCTGTTCCGCTTTAGAACCACTTAGAAAAGGTAGCCATAACACATTTAGGAAATTGAATGTGCGAGTATCGAAGGCGCTTCCACATGAACAGAGCACATCAGTCGTGAATTCGATGCAGCTGACGTGTCTTTAAAGCGTAATTTTTGCTACCTTTACCACAAAGCTTGTATTTCAAACTATAATCTCGGAATAGATGTCACGTGATTCATGATCCAAGAGCCCTCAGTCACCCGCCCCTCGAATCTACCAGGGGTGATACAACATTCATGAGAACCGTGATCTAGAAATGCAGGGCAGTTTAAGAAATAACACTGAGAGTATCTTTTACACTGACTTCTGTAACCGAAAATAAAAAGTCACTAATTATTGAAAAATCAAAAACAATTGGAAACTTAAAAGTCGACCATATTTTTCACACGAAAATTCAGGCCAAACACAAGGATAAGCGCCAAAAGGATGCCATGCGTCATACACCTTGAAAGCCCTAGATCTCATTGGCACAGGGGAAATGTTTAGGAATGGCACCACTATTCGCATATGTATACTCTGAGCAGTGAAGGGAAGACAATGTTGTGGGACTTACTGGGGCATGTTTGGTAATATGCTCTTGCCTCATTTTCCCTTTTTTACCCCCTTACGTACTTCCGTGTTTGCGAGAGTGAACTGTATCCACAGTTAGGGAAACTTTTATAGGGCTTCTTGCTTCCGCTAACCGAATTGTTCTCGCTTGTAATCTTCTGTTAAATGGTTTTGTCCGTCCTTCTTAGGCTATGGTGCAGCACGCCTTGTTGCGAAAAGCGTTTTCGGCCTTCGCTGCACGCTCATGGTCAGTCCAAATGTCGTCTGGCTCCTTTTCCCTGAACAGTCGTATCAACTCGTCAATAATTGTGCTGGCTTCCGTTCTTTTTGTTTGCATTTGGAAATTTAGGGCTATAATCTCCATTTGAAGCCCCGTCGTGACCTTCTGAAGTCTCTCAGCATCCATCGCCTCGGTCTGTGCCGCAAACCTTGGTTAGAAGGCGTGCTTGCCTGAGTCACAGAATCAATTTCAAAATTTAAATTCTAAGATATCCGGGCAGATCTCCCTAGGTAAATGCAAAGTGCAGAAATAAGACGTGAGATTTATTATCGAAGAAAAAAAGTGGGATTGCAATAATCATTTCCAGCTTCTCTGACTTCGCCAACTAGTCATGCCCAGAGCTCAGATCAGAAGGGCACAGGATGCGAAGAAGAACCTAGTCTTGCAATGAATTTCGCGACTAGACATTGCACAGATCCACAATCTGTTGGCCGCAAAAAAGTCATCAAACTCGCTTAGGGGATCCACGCATCGATCTGACTCAATTTTGGGACAGAATACGAAAGTTCTTTGTTATGCAGCTCCTGCCTTATAACTCATGAACGGCTGCAAAATAGCGATTAGTTCATAATTTAGGTCTAGGCGGTATGGGCGACCGACGATCGTAAATCGAAATGAAGCGGTCATCAGTGTTCACATGGCTTCGCCGGCTAGACCTTGCTCGTAACTGTGCGACCGTCCGCGAGCGTTCTTCTCTGTAACCCTAGTAGGTATGCAGGTGTAACCTATTTGTTTTATTCACCCTGGGAAATACATCCCAGAAAAGACGCGCGAATAATACTCGCTAACATCCCGTCTTGTCTTTTCTCTGCTCGCAAAGGTTACGGTTTCTGATGCTACGAGTAGGAACCACTACGCAAACCTACATAAAACTCTTTCAGAGATCTCTTCTTTCTCCTCACTGATGGCGTAAAACAATTACAAGAGCCCGCTCTGACATCTCAGGTCTACTGATCTGTGTTTGGGACGTACGGTGTGTTGGGGGAGGGGGGTGGATGAATACATCGCGTAGCAGCAACAGATGCTTCCGAGCCTGTTACACGTAGTCATTACTCGGAATGGCCTTTAGCTGGTACCTATCTCTCATTCGGTGTCCCCAAAAACAGAGCTGCACGCGGAGGCCACAGCCAGATAGCCATCTCGACTGCTAGGTTAATTCACATTACGGCATTCGGTGTCTCCACATCCGGTAGGTTCATCCCCTATTCCATCCTTCTTTAGTAAAAAACGTCCTACACAGTGAGCATCAGCGATCCCATATGCGGCGCATGCTACTTCCGGTCGTGACCAATAGTCGAATTCTGCAGCCTTCGGAGGCGAATCCGCAAAAATATATGGGCGTATTACTGCTCAGCCATTCCCAGGGGTAAGAAGTAGTAAGGGGCAAACGAACTCGAAGGGAACGATGTCTGGGAATGCTACGGATGTGATCTCTTCTAATTCCGACCATAATAAACGCCCAATGAAAAGAGAAGACGGGTTTCTGAGGGGATGCTGGGGATTATTTATGATGATTGAAAGAGGAGCTAGAGTTCAGATGGGATCGGGTACACAGAGAGGTCTTATGGCAGTGACAGACTGGTTTGGAGGCGAACCTTGGTGGGTACGGGCATCTGAGAGGTGATGCAGAGCGGCGGTGACGTCCAGAAGGCGTCTTCGGTTCAAGGTGCTCGAGCAGCAATTGTCCGTGGTATTTATGGGGCCTCCAGTCGGTGTGGGTATGTTTGATGAATAGACAAATAGGCAGGAGTAAGCATGACAATGAAAGGTAGGATAACGCAAGAGGATTGGCTAATAGAGTGATTGAGGCCGCAAATTGCCATAAATGAGTTTTGCAATGGCGAATAGGATTAAAGTTGGGAGGTGGCTAGCGCGACTCGGTGGTGTCGGTGGGTAAAGGGCAATGCGCTAAGAGTTTAGTGCGACTAAGCCAAAATCCGAAAACCTGTGGTTACATCCTTACGAGGGTTCCCTAAACGAAATGCTGGTTAATCACACCGTCTGAAAGTTGGCGGTGATGTTGCCGAGTGCCATCAGTACGATGTCTGGCTACTTTTTCAATTCCGTTTAACTTTGCAGTGGACGACTCCAGACGCGCTGACCTGCAGCCACTCGGCCGATTTCAGTTCGGACGCACGGTAGCAGCTGTCCATGCACCACTTGAGCACACAGCCCTTCGATTGATGCAACCTAGGCCGATAGAAGCGAACGAGCACTGAGACATTCCCTGAGCAGGGGATTCAGTCACGTGGGGTGGGTGCGGGCGCTCAACTATCCTGGCGAAAGCAGGCCAAATCGCCGTATAGTCGTCACGTCAACATCGAACACGGATTATGAAATTGTGGCAATTAGCGACTCGGACGCGGACTGACAAGCCATCATCGCATCAATTACGCCCCCCGGCGGTGATCGCGAGAGCTGTTAATTATAGTACGCATGTGGCTCCACGGCTGCTACGTACAAAAATACTGCAGTCTTTGTGCCTCCACTAGTTTTATCTGCAACCGTCTCTGATGATGGGTTCGAGTGAGAGTACGAATGGTCTGGCCAATAAACTTCTTGCTCCAGTGATCTCATCTTCTTCGTCTGAGCAACCTAGGCCACTAGACACGCCACCCCTCAGTAGATTCAACCCACGCCAACTGGAAAACACTTTAGCTTGCTCCACAAACCTCTTAAAGCACCTGCCACCATTTGTCTAACTTTCTCTCTTAGACACGGCCTAACACCACCAAACTAGTTCGGGCCTCCTCCCAGTGCCCACTGCTGCCCGAGAGAGCATTACGGGATGTTTTATACGATAAATCCCTCACTCTGACGGCTTTTTTCCCTACGATTCGGGGTTTGACCTAATGATTCCAGCGCTCTGAGTACTCCCACCGCGTGTACGCTACAGTTTAAATGCTAGGACAACAACGACCAGGACTGTCCACATCCATATGCTTCCCTGCAGATCCCAACCTTAATAAAATTTACTCTGAAAGCCTAAAATATCAACTCTCTTTTGGGCAGTCTGCTGAGCAATCGACCAGAAAGAAGAACGATTCTGGCTGACTAGGAAGTGGTGCGTTACCAGATTAACATGGAGCCTCTCAGTCAAACGCACGTCTCCGAACAGAAGCAACTAGAAGAAGTGTCCTCCGGTTACACCCTATTACGGAGCGGAAGTCCACAGTCAGAGGAACGAGACGTCAGAAGCACCTTTTCCATCAAGAATGACGTCGTGAAACGACTATCCTTCCTTTCGCATTGAATCAGGGACCAACTCATTGCCCTGCACCTGTATTTCCGCTGAAACAAACTTACCCCTGTCATCAGTGTCTACATACCCCGTGACCAAATCCGACGACGTGAAGAAAAATGTCTGCGAAGACCTGCACGTCCCACCAAAGGTTGATAAAAATGATTCTTTTCGGTAACTTCGGTGCCGCGTCGGCACAGACCACGCTACGTGAGAGTAGTACTTGGCCGCCACGGGATCGGAAACTGCAGAAGCAATGGCTTCCTCCTGCTAACATACATGGAACAGAGTATTCTCCTGAATAAAAATTCTCCCGACTCCTGATTTGGGATGCACCCTCGCTGGCATCACTGACGACTGCGGGTCTACGCTTTCGTCAGGAGGCGTGATCAACGCGAAGTGTGCTATGATGTATCCGCTCACTCTGACAGCCTGGAATATTCTTTCGGTAAGATATGGCTATGTAGCCCAGCTGATGGACATAATACTGTTGGCGTTGGGTTTAGGGTTAGAGGGTAGGAGTTAGGGTTAGGGCAACCATTTCTCAACCACTCAAAGCGCAACCGCGCATTCCCAACAGCTTTTCTTCTGCATACAACTATTTGATCTCGTCGCCTGTGCGTTCCCTGGCGCCATCTGTAAAAACACCTATTACCACCGGTCCCGTATTACAGGTGGCTGGGGTTTGTTTACTTCAGGTGGGGCTACATAACCACGTCTGACCATTCTTTCCCTTTTGGACAATTCGTGGAACAACAGACCGGAACAGAGGACGGGGCTAGTGGCTCGGGAACTGACGAGCTGTAAGATGGACATCGCTGCACTCAACGAGATCTGCTTCCCCGAACAACGCCAACTGGAAGAGGTGGGTGCCGGCTACACCTGGAGCTGTCGCCCAGATGCAAAGCGACGTGACGCGGGCGTTTGTCTTTGATATCCGGAACGACATCGTGGGATGACCACCCTGTCTCCCGCAGGGCAGCAACGATAATGATGAGCCTCCGCCTGCCTCTCCGGGCAGGCAAATTTGGCACCATCATCAGCGTCCCGCCTTGCCTGCAGCTACACAGGAGACCTCAAGTTAAGCAACTACCAGGTAAGTTGAATATTGTTTTGTTTTATGTGCCTACTCCCCACCTTCATTTCAGCAGCGAGCTTGTTCAGCGTCTAGCCAGCCTTCCAGTTGCCGACGGGTAAGCCCCCGAGCAGAACCAGTGGTGCTAACTTCTCGACTATGTCTTGACACCGAGCTCGGACTGGGGAGAAGAAGAGAGAGAGCGGTAGATGCCATTTGAGTCTATTACCGCAATAAAATAATTCATGCGCAAGTTATCGTGCCTACCCCACCTTGCTGTGGAGCACATGGTGGACATAGTTGACAATGACGGTCGAACCGTCGCTTTTTTAGGATTGAAAAGGTTTTTTCAATCTGGACTCTTTGCATTAAGGAATATCATCGTACCGCTTTGCCTTGCAGCCCGAACCTTGCGAGCTCGTAAATGGCTCACAAACCGCAATAAAAACTACTGCCGTCAAATATGGATAGGAATTAAACCTAATCCATTGCCTCGTATATCATCAGAGAAACACTTTGGTGTCCAGCAGCAAGTTTTTGCATGCATAGTTATTAAATAAATACGTCATATTCGACAAAATGTTTGCGACTCTGGAATGCGGTATTCATCTCTCTGCTGGGGTAAGCGTTGCGGTTCTCTCGTCCTGTGATTGTTTATGACATATTGACAAGTAATTCGGCGTCCATTTTGTGTCTGATACTTCTTTATTTTCCAAGTTATGCCATTTAGGGTATGCGTTATGCTTATAAAGGTGTAGTAACATATGTATTAGTATAATTTCACTTATGATTTTGCGAAGAATATTGAAAGTACAAATATTTGTTGTCGTTGAGTAGTTATTCGTTGCTATGAAGCGTAAGTATTACGGCTTTCACCGAAGCACTATATACAAGCGGCTCTTGCGCCAGAGGCGGGCATATTATGCTGCTATGGAGGAGCAACCCATCGCATCAACGTCTGCGGTTGCAAATGAATCACCGGAATTGCAAATGCCCGAATTAATGCCGGAAGTTTCAACGGGTAGGAGTTGTATGTGCCTTATTTACTGGAATATATAGAACTGTCTGTAGTGGCTGGGACCGTGGACACAGTGGAAGGCAGATGCTTTACGACGGATTTGCGCGAAATCTGTTTGAGGGCGAAATTGTCGTTGAGCACAGCAAATGATTTGTTTCAGGTGCTGCGGCACTATCATCTGGAGCTACCCAACGACCCAAGGACGCTACTGCAGACGCCTCGAACTTGCGTTAGCAAGTCCCTGAAGAGAGGAAAATACGTTCACCTGGGTCTCGAACGCGGCCTACTCGACGAATTACGCCTTTGCCCACTAACGGGCCTTCCTGAAGTGCACGTTCAACTGCACACTGACGGAATGAAAGTCTTTAAAGGGTCTGCTCAGTGCTTGTGGCCGATCCTTGCTCGTGTTAACCGTCCCGTTGTTGGGCAGCCCTTTGTCGTTGGAGTGTTCTGCGGTTTTGGTAAGCCCGAACCGTTGGAAGACTTTCTGGGTGATTGTGTTAGTGAACTGAAGGGCCTTCTCACCACGGGCCTGCGCGATCCACGTACAGAAAGTGTCATCAAAGTGGATTTGCTCAATGTGATTTGCGATACTCCAGCCCGCTGTTATGTACGACAAGTGAAGGCCCACAATGGCTACTATTGATGCGACAGGTACGCTATTTTGTACTTGCAATCGTAACTGCTGTAGATGCTGTCCGGCTAGCGGCACTTGAGTAAGACTGTGAACAATCTCCCTAACAAACTATTAGGAAAAGGAACGATTTCCTAGCTGAGCAACTTATGGCTCTTCCTAGCAGTGCGCAGCAGATGCAGGCAACACTATCAGATGTTGTCAATGCATTGCAGAGAGCCTCCAGCGCCGGTTCTGTCACATACTCCTCCCTAAATTTACCGCTGTGTACCGAGGAGGCATATGAAAACTTTCTTCGTTGGCTCAGCGTAGACGACGGTTTTGCAAACGAGGCGGTATGTGCACATCTACTTGACTGTTTTTAGATCCGGCAACTGGCCATGGTAGGTGGTCGAAATGAGGCAGACTTCCTCAGAAACCTACTGACGGTTCTATTGGGCCCGCCCTTATGCCACAACTTCTGTTGGGCGGGCGGATCCAAGGAGAAGAAGTCCTTCATGGCCTGTCCACTTTTTCCTGTCCTTAAAGGTAAGTCCAATTTTTGTTTATTTTCACGCGCAGATGCCATTGCCCAACATCCCCGTTTTGGCAACTGCTCTATAGAGATATTTCGACGGACAGCAATCAGATGGTTTCATGGATCACAGGACCGGTACGGAGGAAGATCGACACGTCGGCGGAACATTCGTCAGGTACAAACTTTCGGGATTTTCATCCACATTTATTTAGATTACAGAAATCACCATACCTGCTGCCACATGCCCACAATAATCCCCCGCCAAAGAACCGGTAAGCAAATTTATCGAATTGCCAATCCTACACAGCATGCTGTTTACTTCATGTGATTTTTACTATTAAAATCGTACGTATTGGAGACGGTGTATCATTACTTCCGTTGCGCCTGCATTACGTATGTCTTACGAAAGTTTTTGTATGCAGGAACTACCAATGGCCAGTGAAAGTGACTTCTCATCCTGGATACGAAGGTCGCTGAAACCCCCATAATCCAAGACAGACTTTGTACATTTACATTTTTTGACTTACGTATTCAACAAATCGTCCTTCCACAGTACCGCCTTCCGACTTTACCATCTTCGGTATCCGCATTTGCCCTGTAGTGGGCCACTTATAGCCGTAGTCTATCTTGTTTGGGACGTGGAGGTTCGCTGTGACTCGTTTCGGGGTTTTAAGTTAGGCGACCGTTCGTCATGGTTGGCGTTTACGGCCAAAAAATCGAGGTCGCGATGAATGGAAAAAAACGAGAAGAAGCCCCCACGCAAAATTTTTTTCAAGGTGTAGCCAAGTGTGGCCAATGTGTTGATGGCCACACCTGGCCGCACCATAGCCGCACTTGGCCACACCATATTTGCCTCGGCCAAGTGCGGCCAAGTGCGGCTGGTGCTGGCAGGGACTGGTTCCCCGGGCAAAAAACCAAGATAACAGTCGTGTTAAGTGCTTGCAAGTACCTCTGAAATTCCCGCAAATCAACCCGAGGACCTCAGAATTCCTTAAACAGAATCGGCAAGGTTGGTGCCCAGCCATTAAATGCCAAGCATTAGTCTACTGGATCAACTAGCTGCATGAGACCGAGGCGAATAAAACCGGTCAACGCGCAAACGCCTAGAACTTGACAACTTGCCTACACTGCCAACTCACATCCAGGTCACAAATGGGACCCACAGGGCACCTATGAATCCTCCGTCACGCCAAACCATCCAGATCAATCCAAGCAACACAAAACGCTAACTCCATTAGCAACATCATGAAAATTATCTTTTGCCCCTCTTAAAGCTGTGACACCGTGTCCGGATCTTGGACGGTCATGCCCCGGGGTACATCTTTCAATCGTAATGTGATTTCCTAACGGAAACAGATCACAACCGTGACCAACTCAATCGTCACCACCACCACCACCACCACCACCACCACCACCACCACCACCACCACCACAACTACTACTACTACTACTATCACCACTACCACTACCATCGTTATCGGCTGTTTTACTGTACGCCCGCAGCATAGCGAGCACAGTTGCGGCGACTTGGGCTTGAGCTAGTTTATGATGATAGTAAGCTTGCGTCGTATATACCGTACTCTCTCCTCCCTCTCCAACCTTAGCCCGGTTTTAAGAAAGAGTCAAGAAGACTGGAGGCGGGACCAGATGCAGTGACTGACAAGGCTGATCAGCCCGTCTGCACGGAAGCCCTCACGATGAACCGAGACTTCACCAAAACAACAGATGGGCGACTCGAATTTCGACCGGGTGAGGGTACCACATAGACCAGAAGCCACCACAGCCTCACTCTCAGATCACGAGTAAGCTACTCCACAAAACCACACACAGAGCTATCTGCAAGGTCCCATTTTTATCGTCAATGGTTGGTCTCCCGAGTCACAGCATCTGGCGAATCGTGATAATTTCAAACCCGTCAGGTTTATTATGAGGAGTACGCTGGAGTGCCGTATGGATGAGTTCCCCATAGTCAAACTCACTCTCTTCTCCCTCTCCCGTGCGTCCGTTTATTGTCCGAGACGGCTAACCAACCAATGCGGAGACTGGGCGCGGTAGTTCACAGATCTAAAAGCGCCCGTCTACGTGTGCCACACACGCACGATCCGATTCCCAGACGACACCAGGATTTCACACGAAGGGGAGAACTGCTCAGATCCTATAGGCCCATGCGGTGAGTGAATGGGCGTGGGCAGGTTAGGCGGGTGAGATTGGCGTATATAGGGGCTCCTGGCGTTGGCTCGCCGGTACAGTGCAATGGACGTGCAAGTGACCGACCAAACCAGTGCGTGAGGCAAAGTTGCAGTCGCAATGAGGACAGGTTGGGATCGAGACTGGACTGATGATGTTAGGGGTGATGTTGGCGAGAGTGGTGACTGATAGGGCACGGCAATGTTGTAATCGGCGGTGGGATTGGGAAGATTGGTAGCTGTCGCCACCAGGGTTATTATTAGGGATGATGGGGCGGTGGGCGGCGGCGGGACACCGGGAGAGTACGTTCCATTTATGATGGTGGTCGTAATCGTGGACGTCTTGTGAACTGCGACAGGAGTGGATTTGTACTGTCGTTATTGAATCCAGTCCAGAGATGTCTGACGAGGCCGATTTGTGTGCGGACTGTTCGCTGACAGTGTGAACATGTTGGAAGTAGGGGGTAATTGGGGTTAAGAGTCCAAGGCGCCGCACTTTTAATTTTGGCAGCGAAGATCCGGTTGCCTTCGTAGACGGATGCTCGGTATTCACAGAGTTCCTCAAACCGGTTGGTCTCAGATGAGGTCCTTCTAGGTCGCTGGATTAATTTTAGGTCCTTGAGAGAGCGAAAAAGAGCGAAAAAATACGCTGTCGATGTACGGCATGAGGCGTGTCGAAAGCCACGGCGAATGGGGCTGAAGGACTTCGCAGCAATTAATTTAGAATGAAAGAGGTGAACAATGTCATCCAGAATTCCACTAGTAAATTACGTG